TAACAGGGCATTGGTAGTGAATAAAGTGAAGCATTCGCTCAACATAGACGTGAGTATAGGCAGGTTGCATGAGGAAGGGCCGAGCGTGTATAGCAAATGACAAAATTCTCTGATTCGAAGTCAACCCACCTTTACTACAGTTTACTTATCAAACAAACTTTTTCCGCCCTTCTAGCTAACGCCTTTCTGTCCGGAGGAATCAATAAACCAATTGCAGATCGTTTACGGAAACCCGTCGAAATCACTCCCCACACATCTCGGCTGCCCCGTTTCTTTGAACCGTCGAAACATCGAGTTGTGAACACTCTGCTTAGAAACGGATGGAACGTAGACCCTTTTTGACGATTCAGTTACTAATATTATCGGATTAACCACGCAATCTTTGTCCCGCACTGTCGAGACACAAGCTATCCCAAGGGTGTTCCCAATCAGTGAAATGCTGTGAGATGAACGGCGGCAATCGTCCTAAGGCCGGGGTATTCGTAGGTCAACAACTGACTGTTTCTACACTCACAGGGCAGGTCTTAGCTGGCTTGTCGTCACGGCTTACGCGAACCGTAATAAGCGTGGATTAGGATTACGTAATAGCAGCCGAAATGCGGAGCCCGTGTCAAGCAGATAAGGGGTCGATAAAACATGTTCACGTTTGCGTGCACACGGAATATTGGACGCGAAATGGCTGACCTCACCTTGAACTCATTTGGTCCGGGATTCATTCACTCTGGAATTCAAAACCCCCCTCATTCTTGCTTATCTAACTAACGCAGCAGAGATAATCGGATTAGTGAGTATTGTGTGATTTGACGCTGATAGGTTCAAGTTCCTATGCTGTTCCTCACCACAGCATCTGTAGCACATTACATTATCTGAGTGACGTAGAGGAAGCGCTTGGTTGCTCTCGTTGAAGCGGGGTTACCATTAAATGGGAGGTCTAGGTATACCTTTTCCTTAGGTGTCGTCAACACCGTAACAAGCCAACTTTGCGGGGCGCGTTGTCGGTCTTAAGGATAATTACATTAAAGTCGGCATTGTTTACTGATATTGCATTAAACTTTACACACCCATCCGTGAAAGGCACAGATGGATCGCTCGGTTAAACCACCAATTTGTTCATTTTGTAGCAGCAGACTCCTCCCCCTGATACCTGGCCCTTCATTTCCCACTGTGAGGTGACTGTTAATATTCCCTCCCTAGCCTCACTGTGTGATCTGTAAATGTTGGGCACATGTTAATTGTCGCCAGATATGTTTGGCACTGCGTTATTTCCTTTTTCGTATTAGATTGTACTTTCGTTTACTGCACCTAGGTCACATGCACTTCAAACCTGACTATTGACTATGTCGCACTTATGCCAATTATTGTTGTCTTATTATTGAAACGTTTGCTTCGCTGAGTGCGCTTTAACAGACGATAACTGTGACAGCAAATCGTGGATGCTTCTTATTGACTATACTCCTGCTCATAACGCTCCGGGCACCCGGACATTACTGACCGAGAAAAAATTACTATAATGGAACAGCCCTCATACTCAATTGATATTGCTCTAAGCAACGCTGGTATTAAGGAGCATCGTGGAAGAATGCTTCCAGCAGTGCGACGGAGCATGGTAAAGAATGACGGAAACCCGCATTAAACCCGAGGGGATTGTGCTGAAGGTGAAGTTATACAGTTTGTTGTTTTCGAGCTACTGGGATTCTATCAGTAATATAAAATATCACTGATAGCTGTTGTTGATATTCGTGCTGAATTAAGTCGCCGTTCCACTTGAAGCCTCTGTACACTCCTACTGTAATGTTACCTATTACTTTGTTTGTCACGGAGGCGACAGTCCAGGAACAGAGAACAAGTCTCATTGCTCAGCGCTGTCTATTCCTGTACTTTTCGAAAGCAAGCAAACGACGATGAATCTGAAAATTATTTGCAAAACTGTCTAGCATATCGATACTTCGAGCGATCATCCTTGTACAAGTTGTTCGGTCTTTCTTGTGTACATATTTTTATTCTTCTTTCCTTCACTGTTGACGATAACTGGGTCGATCTCCTGAGGCGACGAATTTAAGTTTCTAACTCTAATAATTATACCCATGCAAGGCGTATTGCCATTGGTCCCCTGGCAATAAAAAATGCTTCATTCAAGAAACCAGCTGATGGTACGGGCTAGGTGGCTTGACTGACCGCACAATATACACAGAAAAGCAGCCCTAAAGATGAGTTACATAATTTATGGCTTACCTGCTTTAAAATCACATCGGCACATGGAACTGGGAGTAAAATTCATCAAAAGACTAACTCGCGTAAAAGCAGGTCCCCAGGAGGCGGTCCCAGTAATGGCCGTGCACACTTTAGTTATCTACACTTGTTATCTTTTAGAACCTCACATTCCCGAAATTTTTAACCGACCAATTAGCCATATCCGTCAAAAGGCTCGAGGACTGCTTTGGAAAATTCGAAAAATACAACATCCACTCCTTGCGATTTTGCCGTGCACCAAAAATCGTATATCGCACCAACGAGATATCTATCTATCTTTCTATTCACCACGAATTCATATTGCCCATGCAAGAGCATCGTACTACCTGTACACATTTGATTTGCGCCAAATATGAACGCAGCTCCTCATTTAAAGAGAAATATACTATATATATATATATATTATAAACAAGTCTTACCAACGTCCATACTAGATTGGCTATGAAAGTACATGGTAGCTACGACTTACTGACTTTACACACAACACATTCGCTAACCCTCCAAATGATTTCCTTTTAGTAAAACTTTAGGTGAGACAAACGACGCAAAGGCTCGTCTGCAGGTGTATCGTGATTAGCTGGCTTTAGCTTTCTGCACCCTGTGCTTGGAGTTGAACATGGAGGCGTAGAGAACTGTACTGACATCGTGGCAGATGCAGTGAAGAAAAGTCAGAAAGAATGAGGACACACTGCTAGTAAAATGATAGTAGCCAAAGTGAATCATTAGCTTAGACTAATACTAATTAAAAGCTGGGGTTCTGTGGGAATACTGCAAGTGATGGAGACCTAAACGATGCACGTGCAACGCATGTCCACTCAAGCGTCAGGGAATCATCTTCATGTCATATACACGAAAATCCATTTGCACACGTCAACTCTATCTGAACATCTAAATCAGCGCCACTGTCAAAGTCTAACCCACCCCTAAAGTGCCTACTTGTGTGCTTGTGAGCTTGGAGCAACTGACAGCAGAATCTAGTGTGATCAAAGTTAAGCACAGACATCCGTTATAAATGCCCGGGTGCTGGCAAAGGCTACTCATATTGATCTACTTATCACATCCTATATGGTAGGAGTTTCTTATACAAGAATGGCGAAGGGGTATAGCTTGCAATGACTCCATTATCTCTTTTGATTCATTGTGTGATACGGGTAGCTGATTCTAAATAAATAAGGAACCGATTTACTCATTCGTTTGGTTAAGCAAACCTAACACAATATTAAGTTTTCCTGCACAGATGATAACCCAAACGAATGCGGATTTAGTAGAGTGGAACGTTGCATTCCCAATACCCTACTGCGATCACCGTTTTTCTACCCACTAAATGACACTATCGAAATCCATCAGCCTTCGTGTTGTATTGCGGTTGTATTGAAGGGATGTGGTGATCTTGCTTAACCAGGTTGCATGTGAGGGGTTGGAGATTTGCGTATTTTGGTTGAGATCACGGACCCAGATTTTGAAGTTGTATTTGTCACAAATGGCTTATCCTAGCAGGCCACTGCGGGTAAAGACCGAGCGGTTCACGGTTGTTCGAGGCGGGTTTAACGATACTTTGTCTGATTCGTGGCAAACATTTGAATTGCTACTAGCGCTCTATTATCTTCTGCTCGATAGCTAGTGAGGTGCAAATTATGTCCACTAGTGTGCGGTGAAACCTGTCCACCTGTGTAAACACGAGTCAGTTCGAGGGGTTGGACTTACACGAAATCTAAAGGAGTGCAACAGTGGATTGAGGGCCACCTGCTCAGTACAACTCTATAGCATGTTGAGTTCCAGTTTAAAGCAACTAACTCGCACACCACTGATGAGCAGATGCGTCCGTATATGACCCGAACGCATGAATGGGTCGATACATCCGGCCGTCTTCTGGCTGTTACTACTATTCACCCAGACCTGACGGCTCGGCTGCTCTGGCTGACTTGGGCCGTGCGTTTCGGACAACTGCATTTAGGAGTTTTGAGACTTGTTGCTTGGACGTAGACCGTCACTAATGGCTACTATTCTAAACCTGGCATAGCCCTAACAATGCATGTATGTATGTGTGCCCCGACGTGGTTACGCTTGATGTGTATGTTGACAAGGTGCCTACCTGTCTATTACCCACTACCTCGTCTATACTGGCTCCAGGAGACAGTTGATCGCTGCTGGATGGGATGGGGGTGCACGGTCCTTGTGGCCATGTTAGACTTGAACAGTGGTTCCATGCACTCAGTGTGGAGCGGACTACGGTCCAACCACCACCTTGTGTGCTGCCGATTCCCCAAATACAGTGTGCTTGTGGTTGCCTGTGTAGGAATGTGGGCCGGCTCCGTTGATGAAACGTGGCTCCCATCCACATGCCTCCCAGGCTAATTCCTTCGGGTTCACACTGAATATGGTGTGTGTGGTTGGAGCTGTGGCTGGTGCAGCGCAAGCCACTTATGGTCCTTCTGTAGGTGCAGGCGTCCTGTGGCTGTCCTATGGAGACCACATTGACACGCAAATCCGGAACCGGATGCCGCCATCCATGTATGTGTGCAGAGCTGTCTCTCATTTTAGCGCAACGAAAAAGCATCAGAAATGCACCTTGACTGGACAGTGGCTGTTATGTTTCTTAGGAATGTCACGTATATTGTACTTCACTCATCCGGACGCTAAGAGGTACTCCAAAACTCAATAGCGCATTCCATGAGGCTATACAGTTAGGCCACACATAATGTAGAGAGTAAATAATTTTACGATCACTCCAGTATAATAGCTGCACTTACGATAAGCAGCTTGTAGATCTTGGTATACTGCGCTATTTCACCACGCTTCAGTGAAAATTCTCCGTTTTCCAACTCGTCTAAAATTAACGTCATTAGTTTTAATACCAACATTGTTCGGCTTACCGGTGGGAACTTTTGTCCACATGATGCGAGCCTTCTCCAACAGGCTAGCTAGCTCCTTGTTGTATGGTTGCCATGGCAAAACCGGAAAGCATTCCTCGATCAAATCGAACAGTTGAAGCAGGGATTGTGAATCGGAGACACAGACGCCCTATATATAAGGATCAAAAAATCCAAATAGTTTAAATATTACAATTGAAATTAGTTATCCAATATATATATTCATTAAGATACATGTATGAGTTTAATCAGCTTACCCCACTATCAATGATTTTGTTCAGGAATTGTTTCAGAAAATAGCAGGCCACGGTAAAAAGCTCATCGATTGCAATGTTCCAATTTTCCAACAGCTCCTCTTGCAACCTGAAAAATATGGACATCCGTCGGTAACAAAGTCTACCACACTTTCATCTAAGCACACTGACAATAAAATTGACCTGCGCGTTTAAATACAAGTATCACTTCGTTTTACGTGAACTTGATCGATTTCTGCAATGTGTGCTTTTTCACTGCCATGTCATCTCGTCTGCAGTGCACAGCATCTGCGTGTTCTTTAAGGAATCACTGCAGTGGTTGCTCTCTTTAATCATCACCAAGGGCTTTGCAACTCATATCCTCCGTTAAGTGCAATTACATTCGACCTTTCTGTTATGAAGGTATCAAAGAGCTCGGGCACTGTGGAATTGTGCTACTGACAATAAAAGGCTGGCTAGCAGCACAAACTCTTCGTGGTGCCAGCTGGACGGTTCGGGTGTTACACGTTCCAGCAAATAGTTCAGTGCCAGTGTTCCAGGATGTGGGTGTTTTCGCCTGGCAAGCATTCTCCCTATAAAGGCCACAAATATCCGTTTATCAACACGATGACGTGGCGAATGCGACTCGTCACAAACTTAGGTCACTACCTCGTAAATATCTGGATAATTACATCCAATCCACGGACATCAAGCATCTATTCTTACATAGCAGACGGTATCAAACAGACAAATACAACGGTACACTTACAGACACAAGCTACAAAGCTACACCTATGCACAGTTACACACATATCCATGCACTCATTCACTGTTATGGCAAGCATGTTGTATTCTTGTATATTTTTGTCCAAACTTATCATAACACCATCATGTCTGTAAAGGCGTGCCTCGCGTTGCGATGATAAGAAGTTTATTTTCTTTATTTATTAATTAGTGGGAATCTGTTAATCAGTTCCGCAGACAAGTGTGCACGACAGCCGCATTGATGTGGATGTGGTTGGACTGTCGGCTGTCTAGGCATATCGACTGGGTCCACTCTGCGCCAACATAACTGTTGTCTGTGCACAGTCCCTAAATTGATTCTCTGGCATGGGTTACTGAAGAGATATTGATGTCACTTACTTTATACCGACTAGTGGAAGAAACACTTTTATCTCCATTTACGAACGGTACATTTAAGACCGCACTGGTACATCTCTCATGGCAATATTGGGACTCTAAGTCGCAAACATCTGGCATCCTAACGCGTATACATCGAGACGCGGTAAAGGAACTACTGTGCAACACAGAGCTGGTCATTTCTCGACCAGATAAAGGGTCTGGCTGGGTGCTGTTGAAAACTCGGACTATATCTCTAAGTTGCAGACGACTCTGAGTGACAACAGTAAGTTCTGGCGGGATGCATTGCAGAAAGAGACAACTTCGCAGTAGGAAACCAAAATCACTAACATTCTGAAGGAGTTGAAAGAGGCGATACATAGAGACAATTCGCTTTCTACAAGGCTGGTTCCATGTGGTTCACATCATCCACGACTATACGGACTGCCTAAGGTGCATAAAGCCAACGTTCCCATGCGACCAATAATAGACATGTCTTCTTCCGCCTTTCATTCAGTCGCCAAGTGGATAACGAAGCTGCTTGAACCAGTACATAAAGTATTATCTATCCATACTGTGACAGCTACATTCGATTTTATTAAACGAGTAGAAGATTTAACTGAGGGTGATAAAGTGATATTTTCCTTTGATGTAAAATCACTCTTCACTGAGGTATCACTGTCAGAAATAGTGAATTTCTTTTGCGACTATCTTCCTGAAAGAAACTTGAACGTTGGTATGCCTGTGCAAAAGTGGAAAGAGTTGATCTTACGATGCACTCTCAATGTACAATTCGTATTTGATGGAATTTACTACCGCCAGATATATGGGGTTGCAATGGACTCTCTCCTAGGCCCGCTCTTGACAGATATCTTCATCGCGAAACTTGAACATGGACCACTAAGCAACCTGCTCGCGCGATTTGATTCATAGTACCGATTTGTAGACGACACATTTATTGTCTGTTAACAACGATTTGCTAGACTGATGTACTAGTGTACACCCGTCATTAAAATTTACCATTGAAACTGAAAAGGGCGGGAAGCCGGTCTTCCCAGACGTGATATTGCGCCGTCGAGCGAATATTTTAATTGAAAGAAGCGTATTCCGAAAAGTGACGGAGGTAGGCCAGTACACCCATTTTCTCCGCTGTGTGCCACTGAGATACAAGCGAAAAAGTTAGTCCGATGCCCCTTTTGTCGCGCCAAGGCCATCTGCAGCCCTGAGACGATGGACAGCAAAACTCAGCTCATTCTCAGCACATTAAAGGAAAATGGATATCCTCCCCAGTTCATTGAAAAGCACTCCACACTGCCCCGTTCTACGAATGCTGTCACTACAGTACCGAAAAAGGAAATCTTCCTCACAGTTCCTTTTAAAGGAGATATTGCTTTTAAGCGGTTGAGGAGAAAACCGTCGACCGCAGTGACTCAGACATTCCCAGCAGCCAACCCTAAATTGCTTGTGGAAACTAGACCGCTGATTTATCAGTGCTTGAATGATAGACTCCAGGTCCGGTCCGAATCTTTCATCCTATATCAATTCACTTGCACTTGTGGTGCAAGGTACCTCGAATTCACGACCAGGCGCTTGTCCAAAAGGATCGCTGAACACTGCCCGGCTTTGCTACGAAAAGGCATCGTAAGGAACATCAACAGTTCGACACTAGAGCATTCGGTTGACACAGGACACCAGACTCAGGCAACTGACTCATTGATGTATTAAGGAGTAGGGTATTTTGATATCATATATACCATCCCGAACCGATACTCTAAAGGATTTAAGAAACGCTTGTTAACAACAGCTGACGTCATTGCAATCACGGTTTTGAAACCAGAACTGTGCAAACAACGGATGCTGGCTCAAACTTTGGTCCTACCGTGGCCCTGAACCCACACTTCACCTCAAACATGGCAGGGCACCAGCATTTGTCACCGCTAATCTGTCTGCCCTCAGCTACCCTGTGTTTTGTCCCAGCGGCGTACTTCGACTGATTTAGACCTCGATCGATGGCCAGCCATTCCAAGTCAATAGATTGTGTGGATTTCGTGGCTCTTTCTAATTTACAACTAGCTTTCATTAGCCAATCGGTTCTCTAATTTTGCTCTATATTTGTAAATGCCTGATGAGATTTATCGAAAACAATGTTCTCCGAGCAATTGTGATCTTCTGAGTTAATTTTTTTAAGTACGAGCGTAACCAAAAACTGAATTACCTACAAAGATCCGAGTTACCTACGTTGACTCACCACCGAATGGCTCGAATTTTAAATGGGGAAGTCATTTCTCTCACTTTCCGAATGGCACGCCGCAGCGGAATCATTTTCTTCGTTTAACATTACTGGCCGAAACAATTTGTCGGAGCTCCAAATTGGCGCTTGTCCCTCCGTTAGACTAACAAGCCGGTTTCTCGTGTGGTAAGTTTCTGTAAGCAACTCTTGCGAAAGCGGCCTAAAATCTACTGTTGGACGTGTCCCCGTGATAGTTATAACTGTGTGATTGCATCGTACCTGCGATTTCGACACTCGCTATGGAGTGTATTGAAGTAGAATAGTGTCGGGTCGGAGGCGATGTGAAGTACATCCCTTACACAGGTTGTAGCTCACATTTATCTGTATCATTTCTAGCTTAGTTGCATACATAGCGCTTTCAAATTCCTCCTTAAGCAAATCATGTTCGTCCACAGATCTCTCAAGATGGCCCCTAACGCAAGCAAATTGCATCCAGCGGGCTCGGAACCAGCTAAATGCCTCTGCTCATTGAGTAGCTCGTCCCAAATCAGCCAAGAGCGGCCAACTCTGTGTACTTTTCTGTTATAACGTCGTCTAATTTAGCGTTGGATATAACCAGCGGTACGCATTTTTTAGGAGCGTTTGCCTCCGTCAGATACAATTCGATAGCACCAGGGACTATCTTAAGAGATATATGTAGGAACATGTGTTCGTTACAGATGAATTTGAAAGCGCTATGGATGCACCAATGAATAATGATAGTTCCCTCATGAGTATCATAACGTATCCATCGCAATGACGCTGGACCTTACCGTGGTGTGATGGTTTGTGTGCCTCAGTCATCCATTGAGCTATACTGAGTGGTGCTTTTTCGCACCTTCAGAGCCACTCATACCAGATTAGTCAATGGTTAGAGGACAGACTAACTCAGCCTCCTGGTCCTCCAGATTGGGGGTTGGAATGAGGTGGCTCCTTATTCCTTAAAACGGACTCCTTGTAGCCCGACGCCAAACTCGCTGCCTTGCGGTCAGGTTTTTGAACCAAAGGCTTTGTTTGAGAACCCTAATCGTTCTCCTGTCTAGGCCTGGGCAACCTGACAGTATCCTGGTCACTCAATACAATGAATTTCCCTACAAACAGTTTCATGATGCTCTGGCCACCGCAGAGGATAATCAACGGTGCCCCATCTGCTGCATCGAGCAGGGTGGCTAGGGATTTGGATGCTACTGCTCAAGCCTTCCCATCTTCTTATTTCCCCACTTACGCTTTTTCACTCTTTCCGTCCCGTTCCAGCTTCACTTTTATCCTCCCTGTTTTCAACCCCTCAATTCTTGGCCCTCCCCCACTTGCGTTGCTAAGCTTTTATCTTCTACTTTCAACTCACATGTGAACGCGCAGCGTCATTCCTGTCCTGTCGACATGTTCATGTCCAACCAAGTGGCCAAGCCAAGTTCATCGACTTCTATTTGGAGCCCTCGATCATCCTTCAGATTGGCATTCCTAAATGTACGTATATTGCTACAGATCGGTCAACAGGCAGCACTTGCCCGAACTTTAGAGACGCTCTCCATCGATATCTGCTGCTTATGGGAGACCCGCCTGCAAGCCTTGAGCACTGTGCTCACTTTGCGATCCCCTTGCAGGTGACGCTAGCGGCACTTTCTCATTGCGCCTATCCGGTGACGATGCAGCTTCGAGCACCGGCTAAGCCCGTGTTGGTATCGCCCTGAGTCCCCGGGCTGAAACTGCTCTGGTTGACTGGATTCCAGTCAGTAGCCGGA